TTGAATTGTGCACATGTACAAACGTTCTGTAAATTTACAAACGTTTTCTGTTGTTTTCCTACTTTTCTGAGTGTTATTATCAATTTCCTAACAATAATCCCTTACTTATTGGGAAGTCCTTAACTGAGGATTTGCACACTTGCAAGTGCACACGACTTGAACACTTGCAGGTGCACTACTACGGACTGGAGCACTTATTACAAGTGCTGGGCAGTTGCAGACCTCGTTAATCAGTGTGTGGGTGGAGAAGGAGGGTTGAAGGATTGGGGGAGATCGGGGTGAAATGTTGGTCAAGGTGTCTTGCTGAAAGTGGTCAGAGAAGTGCAGTGCCGCATGCTGGTGCCTGACACCCATTCCCCCCTGCCCTCCTCCTGCACGCGCCCGCCGCGCCCGCCCGCCCCAGATCTGGTTAATTGTTTCCGACTAAAGGCTCAGCCACTCGTATTTATTACCGATCGGCCTGGATATACATAACCGATCCGGTGCGGCCGAGCGGTCCGGCCCCCGGGTGGCCGAGGGATTAACCCGGGCCCGTTTTTGACACCTGTATGCTACCATTAATTAGAAGGCTTGCGTTTTCGGGGAATCCCCTCATGTGCAGCGACCCCCCCTTCCCTCTCCTGCATCCCCCCACCCTCCCCCTCGCCCACGGCCCACGCGCGAGGTCCCAGAGGGTATGGGACCGCTGGCACAGGGGGAGGGGGCAATTACCGTATGCAGTAGTGTCCGTGTGTGTGTGCATGTGTGTGTGTGTGTGCGGATATGTGTGCATGTGTGGGCATGTGTGAGTGCGTGCAGCACATACGTTAAACCAGCCGAATGCATTCGGAGCCAACGCGCTCGATCAGTCACGCGCCCCCACCGATGACTGATGATCAACTCATCCGTTTTTATTACCGGAGTTTTTGTTGTCGGTGTCGGCGGCGCGCCAGTGGCGCCGATGCACACGGTGGTGCTTGTGCCTCTCCCCCTCTCGATGAGGACGCGGTGGGCTTTACTGGATGTGAGGGTAATGTGTGTGCACACTATCGGCGCAAGCCTAACGCCGACAAACAAGCAAGTACACCATGTACTCTTTGCAAATTTACCATATTTCGGCACATGTCGCAGTCCTTTGCTTGCTTCAGACGACCCATTCAGCTCAGAAACCAGCACGTCAGGTACGTGCCGTCGACACTTGCATGTAAAATGCATGAAGTGTGTGTAATCCATTAGTCAGTACTTTGCTAGTTGTTTTGTAAAACTAAGCAGGTCGACGATGCTTAGAAAAAATGAATTTATTCATGATTTCAATGAACACTTTTTTAAACAACCTTACACATATTTTGATCAATAAATACTCGGCTACGAAACTCTGAAAAGCCAAAGTGTGTGCTCAAATACAGTACCTCCTGCATACCCACATGTATGCAGGAGATACTGCATTCAAGTACAAGATTGGGTTTCCAGTGAAATTTTAACAATACCAAGGAAGCTTTTTTTATGTATATTATCAGCTTTTCATTTTTGAGCGATTAAATTTTTAAAAAATCAGAGATATATAGCGGAAGGCACCGAGCGATATGAAATGTCCACAACAACCGTCAATCCCCTTCTTTGCGCCCATGGCTCGTCAACGGGGCTCAATGAGACCAATAGGATAGGCGGGCGGCTCCGTTCAGCTGCCTAATCCGTGGCGCATGACGCCCTGGTCAGCCGGGGCTCCGGGGCGGGGCGAGGCAGGGGGTGCAGGGGGCCACCTGCCAAAACCGCGAAGTCCCCAGGCGACGGCGGAAACAAATCCAATAAAAGCCCTCTGACAATGCGTTGCGCGCTGCCGCACGGGCTGAAAGGGCGAGTGCCCTGATTGACCTGCTCTCCGTGTGGAGAGGGGGGGGGGGGAGAAGTCCTGCGGGCGGCCATGCCGATGGGCGGGGGGCACTCTCTGGTAGCGACTTTTTAAATCAGTCACTAATTGTGATGAGGCGTGGGACGGGCACGTTCCGTGTGTCACCCGCCGTGCTGCTGCCCCTCCAGGGGCGGCGGTCCACCGCGCCCTGCCCCGCCACGCCCCGCC